GGAGCTCGATGAAAAAGCGATACAAGTACATACTTTTCGAACAACTAAGACGAATACAAAATGAATATAATAAGTATTGGAGGATAAAAAGCTATCTACAAAACTTTATTTCCAAGATTTTACAACTGACCACAAAAATACAAGCTGTAAACTTTCAGTTTAACGAACGACGACCATCGATCAGAAGACAAATCGATTCTCTTCGCTTCCTTGGGGAAAACAATTCTTTCGATGAAAGAAATAACTTCTTCTCTATTCTGAAAGGTAAACCTTGTCAAATCGCATGTTCTTTCGGTCACAAACTTTTACCTGCAAATTTCCAACTTGACAGTTAAACGACATCGATCAAAAATTGATCAATTTTCTTTTTACTCTTTACAAGACTTTTTTTTTACAAAAACGATTCTATCATTAAGAGATCGCTAAAAATAATTTGAAACTAACAAAGAGTGTTCAACTCGTATCGTACGTTTGATCATATGCAGTTAGATCCAGAAGAATTTTTCAGTCGATTGGAAAAGGGTCGTGCGAGAAAGAGGCGACCGAAACGTGGCTCGAGGCGTCCTGTAACCATGAAGTTTACAACACAGAGAAACAAGCCGCGGTGCTTTCACTTTCCGAGAGGCAGCAAACGATTAACATCATCATCGTGCTCCGCGTGTTGTCGTTTCATCGTGTCCCGGTTTGCCTCCGTGGATCCGTTCGACTTCCGGCAAACTGGCCGATTTCGCAATCGAATTTATTTCGTCGTCCGGCACTTGATGCAATTCAGCCGGCGAATCAAATCGACTTAAACGGTTCAATTAACCGGCTCATTTGTCCAGTCGTCCTGTTCAACCATGGTGTCCCTTCGTCGTCGTGCTATTCGATCGAATCGTTTTCGTTCCAACTTTATTCGCGACTCGGACGTTATACCGTGGATTGTCTAATCCGGAGGATATTTAGGCGAGAGTTCTAGATCGAGGGGAATTTAAACGGAAATTAGAGAATTTACAGGGAGCTGGAATGAAAATTGGAGAATTCCAGTGAACATAGAACAGTGGCTCTTCGTGTTTAAATATAGTCAAATAGAGTATCGTGGATTTCTCGAGGTATTTGATCGAATATCGTCGAATTTCTACACGATCATCGTGAATGATTCTTAAATCCAGGTAAGCAGAGAAGAGTTGACTCGAACGTTAACAGATTTGGAAAAACTTCGCTCGAATTGCATCGAATCTAGGGAAGATAAATTAACCTTGAAAATCTATGCGAACTTTAGTATTGGACAATTCCCGATAAAACCTGTACTTGCACTGGTTTGATTCTAATCGTCGTTTAATCGAAATCAGTAATTTCGGGGAAATTATGACGTTCACCGTTGAATCCCATAAAACTCGAAGTAACACCGATTCGCAGAAAGTTTCAGCAAAAAACTAGAACGAAGATGATAGGATCCTGAAACAAACAACGTCCATATATAGCCTAATCTAAGCACCAAGGTATTAAAGGAAGATTAGACCAAAGGTCGTTAAGATGAACAGAATTTACGGCGAAGTCTGTCCCGAGTGTGCAAGTCGTACCTAATAGAGAGACTCAGGTGGTCGAATATCTGGCGAGTCTGTTTCAATAATAAACGATGGTTCGACTAGCGAAATATCAGCGGTGGAGGCGGTTTTAAGGTCGCGCGTACCGAATTTCGGCCGGTGAAGATTAAAGGTGCGTTGACATCGTTACGTCAACGCGGTTAAATTGGTCGGGTCGTGCGCGCGTTGCGGAAACTAACGCGTGCACGAGGTCTTATGTAAACCCTGCTTACTAACTTACATAAATTCGCTCCTGTGGCGAAACTCATGTGCTCTACTAGAAAGAGCGAAAGAAAATCACGAACGCAAGGACCTGCTTCGCAATAATGGCCGAAAAATGGCCAGCAGAAAATTGTAATGAACGCAAGACAAGATTTGGTATTTGCTCGATAAATTAGTCGAATATTATTTCGCACATAGTACGTGTATTTTTGCGCAGTGTTACCGTATAACGTTATTAATAACCTCGTAATTGGCACGACGTTAAACTCGAATTACAGGAAAAGCAAAGGAGGAAACGAAAGAGTCACGTTCTCGTACCGAGTCCTCGAGTTACCATTTCCTTCGCGAATTTCCTCCCTCCGTGACACGTGTTAATCATCCCGGAGACTGTACCGGTGGTTGGTTGAAAAGCCTACATCGAAAGAGATGCAGATACGGAGACGCGTCAGAGTAGCGGGGAAGAAAAGTGGAAGAAAAAAGATTGCAATGGTAAATCGAGGTCGTTCGCCGCTCCACTTTTCCGGCGTCGATATTAAAAATTAGCGCGGCCCTCGGTGTCCCGTAGCGATCAAAACGAAGCGAGCGGAAGATGGCTGGTGAAACTTTCTTCTTCTTTGTATGTAGGAAAGTAAGAGGAGCGAAGAACGAGGTGACGTGCAGATGTGCCACACCGTGATTTTTCCAATTTTCCTCGTGCACGCACACGCGTGTGTCGCTCGATCAAAGAGAAAGGACGCGGACTTACTGGTCTTCGTCGTATAGTCTTTCTCTGTTCCTCTTGGCTTTGCGAAACGTTCCATCCTCGTCTTGCCAACGCGATGGTCTTTCTCGATCTTTCCGCGCGGACGCATGCGTCAGTGATCTCTCAAGGCCTTCGCGCATTAACGCCGAGTGCTGTTTGCTTCGTCCCACTTTCCTTAGCGCCCGGTCAACGACCCAGCGGGTAGGTGAGTTTCCAAGGTGCACCAACACGTACACCCGTCTCTTGATTCTATTCCATCCAAGAATACATCGGCGCCGCGCGCGCAGTGTCTCTCAAGCTCCGCTTCGATGTTTCGCCCTCGCCAACACCTCGTCGCACCCCTGCTCGTTACACGGAGGGATGAGAGCTTTCTATGTATACTTGCTGACAAACAGCTCCGCGCCAAGTGGCTTGGGATTTTTCGCTCGGGTCAGGGTTGGAGGAACGATTTTGTGCAATTCGTTATGCAGGTGTCAAGTGAGAGGATTATTTGAATAGAGAGAAAGGTGAAATGTCGGTCTTTAATTCGAGTTTGTCGATGAGGGTCGTTCGAGGTGTAATTACGATCCCGAGGCATTTTTCTGAGCAATTATATCGTATAGAATATAAATGTTCTAGAGAGAGGAATTTTGAATCTGGGTTGGTTTAATGGAAGCTGAAGAAAATTTGGAGTAGTTCGTGTATGGTATTGTGTGCTCGTAATGGAAGAATGAGCGCGAGAAGAGAGACAAAACAGAATTTTACACAACGAAATGGATAAAATAGAATAGGTAAAATAAGATATCGTGTAATTCAAATCTCTTCCAAATCACATTAATAAAACAAAATGCTGAATTATTTACGAAATAATGATCTTTAATGTATCTTCTAACCGAACATCACTGTGTCGCGATTCTCAATTCTGACTCTCATTTAGCATTTATCGCTTCTACCCAAAAGTCTCTTTCTAAATTCTATCGTCTCCTTCGTTTGATTAATTAATTTCGCGCCCTGTCAAATTTTGTTCCTATTGCAACCGAGAACACTGGATTTTGATGAAAAAAGAAAAGTGGCATAAAGCGTCATGGAAAAAAGTGAATTTAGTGACGCGTTAGCGATAGCACAGCCAGGGTTCATAAATTTGCGGGTGTATTTGCACGCGAAAGCAATCGCCAAACAGTTCTAACGCGCTCCGCGACGAGGCGCCACTGTCCTTTCGCGAATCCCGAGGCGCGAGTCGGTACGACAGGAAATTCGCGACTCGTGGGTCGGTATCGTGACGTGCAAATTCCTCCTGATAACATTATCACCTAATAGATAGCAGAAGGACCAATTTCGGCCCGCCACCACTAGCGGGAATTTTGAACAGAGGGTAGAATAGTAAACAGGAGGTTGAAGGCAGGTTTCAGGTAACTGAGGGAAGGGTCAGGTACGAAGGGTGAACAAGGGAAACCGAATAAAGATTCAGATCTCGTAAACCGACGAATGACCCTCGTTCGCAGGTTTGTTTCTAACTCCACGATAGAGGAGTTTTGTGGAATTCACGTAATCAGGGCAGCGGTTTAGCGAGAGACCCGTTTTATGCGCACTGTTGTACGAATAATTGCGACAATACGTAGTTTTTACTGATTCATTTTATTGCGAGTTTTAGAGCGTATTATAAATTACGTAGTGAGTAAACAGAAAATACTTATATCGATAATGTTAGAAATATATTTTGTTTTATTTATAAAAACGTGAGTTGACATAAAAGTCTTTAACCCACTAGTAAGATAAATATAAGAAACTCGTCAGAAATATACTTTTAAAAATAATGTTTTCTCTTCCTGTCCAAGATCGAATTCTAATGAGAAATAATTGGAAAAATGATCGTTTGCATTGTAAACGCGTTATCGGTAAATTTCACTTCGTATGAGACGCGTCTATTCCTGGACGATTGGTGTCGTGTGGCCCACTTGTAAGTACGCGGGTAATATAAAGGTAAGTACGATGTTCAATTGTACGCGATGGCTGACAGTGTAACGGAAACACTGAAACAAAAGTGACGTATTTATCAATCAGATAAAAGCCTTTCAATAAAATCGGACTAAGCATCCTCGTTTATTTATTAATGGCTTCGATTCTTTCCTAACCGTTCATTCGTTTCCAATCACTAATATGGTATAATGTCTTTCTGTTATAGGTAAGTGAAAATCTTCGCTTTCTTTGCTGCTAGCTGTACCACACTTGGCTGTAAGTAATTTTCAAATCAATCGCAGATTAAACTAGTCTACGTCTGGTCGTCATAAACATAGATTGGCATACGTCGATATACACTCGTTCGACGACAACCAAAATACGTAAAAATCACTAAAAGATCGCTACAAATCAAAGACAAGTTTAAAAAACTATTTACAATTTCACATACAGTATTCTACCAAAATTCTGCGCTTCGTTTTATAATCAGACACTATGTTTCTATTATCGCTACCAATCCCCACATAGAAAAGTTATTCGCGTTAAAAAAATCTCGATCTCGAAATAACAACGCGAGTTATATAATAATCGTACTGGAAACGTACACCGCCTATCGCAAACTCAAAGGAAAACGTCATAAAATGCTTAAACTCCGCGTCCGACTCCCCTCTATTTTTACCACTCTCGACGTCGCGCCGCGTCGAATTCCGCGCCCATAAAGCCAGTCACCTGTGACAACACGAGTGCACGGGGTTGAAAAAATAGCCAGCGCTGTAAATATCTAGCCGCGTCTCCCGTCGCAGTTTCAACCCCCAGTTGGTTACAACTAAAACAGTAAAACAACCGGATGGTAAAAGTGTCCCGGCGCAAACACGACCCGCGTGCGTCATCGTAGTCCTACGCAAAGGAAGCGCGGGCACAAAAGAGCACCGGAGATATCCGCGAAAGACGGAAGGGTCACTCGTTGGGCCGGAGATCGCGTGGGTATAACGGTGGCGCGTGCGCGGAACCCCCGCAGCTCTCAGCTCTCACCCTCTCGATCAACCCCACCACCCCATTCATGGACATCAACCCTGGAGAGTACGCGGTGCGCCTACCATTGTGGCACACCGACAGTGTCCGACACGTTGTCATTAGTGCGACACGGGTATGTCAGCGAACGTGGCGAGCGACGATCCACCCGAAATCGGGATCGTCGATCACACCATGAACAACGGCGGCCCTC